CCCACCTATTCTTTCTGTCTGCAATGCCCTGCCCTCTCTTCCTACCCATTTTCCCCATGAAAAAAATCTTTCAAGTTCCACCTCAAATGCTACTGCTTCAGGAAGTCTCCCTAATGGCCCTTCTTCTTTGTGTCCTGGAAAAATGTTCATTTTTTTACCTATCTGGATACACTATTCACTCCTCAAGGGTGAGGACAAGTCATCTATCTGTCTATCATCTCTCTGAAGCACCCACAAGTCTGAGCACTGGACTTTGGATGACCCTGGACAAATAAACAAACAAATCTTCAACACCAGGTCGATGGTAACGAGCTCAGAGTTTTTTATACTTCCTTCCAAGACCCTGAACTAAATGTGCTCTATCAGCTGCTGCAAGCCATGTGATTAACTGGTTCTGGTCTCCTGATCGCAGCTGGAGAATTCCCCCAGAGCCTTCCTGAGGCTTGGGGCCTCCTCCAGGCAGACCTGGGAATTAGCTGCTCTCAAAAATTCCGCATCACTCTCGAAGACAGGTGAGCACCCAGCTCTCCTCCCGATGACATAAATGAAATGAATAATTTCATTTCTGCTGTGAAGGGAAATATAGACAATTGTAGAGTGTGCGGGGGAAGAGGAAGGCTGAGCTAAGAAGGTGCAGTCGGCTGGTGGGGTGGGCAAGGAGGCCAGCCCCGCCCCAGAGCAGGAGGGCACAGAAGCACACGCAGAGCAAGAGCCCTGCCGTGTGGCAGACCGAAGGTGAGAGGAGACTTGAAGCCTCCAGACCCCAAGCCGCAGACCCCACAGCGAAGCTGCCAAGAGAAGCAAAGCCAGAAAACCCAAGTGGAGTGGCTTATTTCATCAGCATCCAGTTGGTTAAAAATAACTTCACTTATTAGTTTAAGTGAGATCACCGCAGAGCTGGAAATTCACTGTCAGTGAAACAAAAATACTGGAAGGAAAAATGAGAAAAGTCTACATTCATGGGGGACTTTATTCCTGTAAAGAAACACAGGAGGAAGCTGCCTGAACATTCCGCAGGCCCTGGTTTCCTTCTGGGCTCTTTACGAGGCACACGTCTGCCATTTTGGGAGTTCACACTCTTCACTCTTCCTGTCTTGCTAAAGAGAAGCAGCAGCACAGAGCTCAGGGCCACGAAGCACCGTTGGGAAAAAGGCAACCTCTGGAGAAATGCTGCGCCCGGGCGCGTATGCTGAGCCAGACCTCACCTCCACGCATGCGGGAACCTCACCAAACAGCCTGTTCTTTGCAGCTCCCGCCAAGGCACTGCACCTTCCTTAAGCAAACAGATTTCCCTTGTTGACTGTGCTGCCCACAAAGGCTCTACTGAGGAAAAGCAGCGACTCTCTGAGAAGGGTGGAGGGTGGTGTGGGAGTGCCTTACATGCTCTTTCTCAAGGAGGAAAGGCACAGGGACAGTCTGCCTTTCTGAGTGACTCTAGAGAATCCACTGCATTTTTCTAGAAAGCCCCCGGAGAGAACAGCCCTGTGATCCTAATCCCACCCTAGCATGCATTCGAGTCCCCCTCATGGCTCACCTAAAGCCTCCTCACCAATCAGGCCCACAGGACCAAGACGCCAGTCTTCCCTACCCATGCCTTGCCCTGGGTAGCCCTTGACCTAGTGGTGAAGGGGGCCCAGGCCAGGCTCTGAAAAACTGCTCAGGGCGGCAGGGCCCTTGAGCACTATGACAATGATGAACTACACACAGTTCCTGCTCCGTTCAAATGGCATTCAGTCTTCACACACACACCGACAGGTGTTGTGAAAACCCCAGCACATGCCTCATCTAAAGTATCCCGTTCGGCCCAGCTCGCGCATGGCAGTGAGCTCAGGGAGCCCAAAAGCGGCTGCCGGCACCGATTTTCTGCCTTGGAACACGTCCAGACCGTCCGCTGCAGGGCTTTCTGGTGGCCTGTCCTTGCTGAGCCTGGTCGCAGCACCCTCCACTTCTGCCTCCCTTGTTGGCTCTCTGTGACTCAGAGGTCTTTTGTTTTTTGGGGTTTATTTTTGTCTGCTGTTGTTGTTTTTGCTATTTTTGGAGGAGCATGTAGACCATTTACTTTTTTTGCAATCTTAAATTTTTACATAGTTTCAAAGTTATAGAAAAATTGTAAGAACAAGGAACTTCCCTTTTATCCGGGTTCACTAACATGTTGTCATTTTGCCCTATTTATCATTCTCTTTTCTCTCTTTCTCTATACACATACACACACACACACACACACACATACATGTACATATGCATGTATGTGTGAATAAGTATATGTGTGTATCTATGATTCTTTTCTGAACCATTTGACATTAAGTTATAGACATGATGTCCCTTCGCCCCTAAGAACCTTGGCGTACACTTCCTAAGAACAAGGATATTCTCTTATATAACTCCAATATAGTTACAAAAAACAGGAAGTTTAGGCCAGGCATGGTGGCTCACGCCTATAGTACTGTGCTAGTGCTTTGGGAGCCTGAGGCCTCCCAAAGAATCGTTTGAGGCCAAGAGTTTGAGACCAGCCTGGGCAACATAGACAGACCCCATCTCTACAAAAAATAGAAAAATAATCTGGGTGTGGTGGTGTGCACCTGTAGTCCCAGCTACTTGGAAGGCTGAGGCAGGAGGATCACTTGAGCCCAGGAATTTAAAGTTGCTGTGAGCTATGATGATGTTACTGCACTTTAGCCTGGGCAACAGAGTAAGTCCCTGTCTCAAAAAAAAAAAAAAAAAAAAAAACAGGAAATTTAAACATCGATACAATACTATTGTTTAAGTCATAATTCACATTCAAATGTCATCAATTATAGCTATTTTTTCCTGGTCCAGGAAACAATCCAGGATCACAAATTGCATTTCAAGTCTTTTTAGTCTATTTTAATCTAGAACAGTTGCTTAGCCTTTCTTTGGCTTTCTTATCCCTAAAATTTTTTGAAGAGTAGAATGTTCTTCAATTTGAATTCAGTTAATGTTTCTTCATGATTAGATTTAGTTATGCATTTTTAGCTGGATTATGCACGAAAATAAATCATTAAATCAATGTGTTTTTCTGAGTGGAACATATCATATATGTTGATTTGCCCATGACTCACATTTGGAGTCACTATCATGGCTTTGACTTTGGTGCCCTGTAGGACATAAAAGGATTTTCAACCTCTGGCTTCATGCACTACAACTGTTGGCAAAAGGGGCCAACACACTTGCACACACATAACCTGTTTGATGGCCTGTGAGGTGGAAAGCCCAGGCCAGCCCTTTGGATGAAGAAGAACACATGGCTCAGCCATCCCCATCACCTCAACAGCCAGCAAACTCCCAGAAGTGAGATTGCATAGCTAAGCAACCCTGACCATAGTCTCATGAACGAGCCCAGCCAAGACTGGCAGAAGAGCAACACAAATTAGTGGTGCACAAAATCACCAGCTAAATAAATAGTTGTTTTAAGCCACTACATTTTGGGGTGGTATGTTACATAGCAAAAGCTAACTGACATCTCTTGTTCAGCAAGGGAAAGAGATAGGACTCAGAAGCCCTACATATTTATTTGAGGTCACTGAAGAAAGGTCATCCTATTTTCCTCTGGCTCTGTCCTGTCTCCCTCAAAGATCTGTCCCTCTGCCTATATTCGGGAATCAAAGGATCATTTTAGTTTACTTATGTGGTCTTTTAAAAAACCCAAACAAACCACAAATATTGCTCTCCCTGGGTTTTTCCAAAACAAGGCTACATGTCTCAGTTGCTTGATTTTGGACAGATGATGTCAGGAGACTCTCCCAACACATTTTCACAGAAATCAGCAAATGAAAAACCCTTCCTGGAGAGAGACCCCATAGCAGAAGAGAACCCTATCACTAATACACATCTAGCAAGCATCTGCCAGGGCCTTAGGGTTCACTATGCCTCTTTTACCAACTCCTCCGACTCCTTCCCTGGATTTGGTGCCTCTAGGATGCAGTCTGAGGCTTTGTACTTTTAACAAGTTCATCTGGTATTTCACATCATCGGAGAAGTCTGGGAAGCCCCGCATTATAGAAGTAGTTCTCAACCTCAGCTGCACATTAAAATCACCGGGGAGCTTTAATAAACCTAATGTCTAGAACATTCAAATCAGAATCTCCAGGGCTGGCACCCAGGCGTCAGTATTTTTTAATACCTCCCAGATGAGTCCAGTGTGCAGCCAAGCAGAACCTGTGCTCATTTCTACAACTGAAGAGTAAGAAGCTGGCTTTGTTTCCATTCACACGAATATTCCCTTCAATGGCATGTGTTTCTGATGAAGGTGTGCTTATTTTGATGCATATGAACTGCTGCCCTGGAGACTTCTTTATGGTTTTCTCCTTACCACTCGGCTGATTTCCCAAAAAGGAGCTGAATTTTCATTCCTAGGAGCAGTTCTCTAAATCCTATAAATTTTCTTTTTGGGGAAAAAGAATTTTTTTTTTCTTTTAAGTGTACTGTATGTTATGAAGAGAGATGGAAGGGCACGCTGTGAGCAACAGCCATTGTATTAGTTGCTGCCAGGGTTCAGCCCTTATTACCGAGATACCTTTACCATTCTCATGTGCACAGCTAGGCACCCGTGCCTAGGTGTTGGCAGGTGGCACTCAGGCTACTGGGACCTTTTGCCTGTGCACACAAAAAAACCCAGAAGATTCTGAGACTTTTGTCTCCTGAAGTAACCTTTCACCATTGACCGACAGGTGTAGTAGTATAAACACCCCAGCTCCCTCACCCCAAATCAGGAAAACTGTGGTCCCGTACACTGTCTTCAGAGATACCTTGAGGGATTGAACCAAAGTTACCTCCCACCACCACTATGGACTTTGCTTAATACTGTACCACTGCTTGGTCCTTTTCCCTTTCCTGTCTACTTCCCCACTGCCCTATTTGCTTTCCTTATAAACCATGTTCAGTGAATCCTGATTTCAAGGTCTTCTAGAGAACGCAACCTGAGACAGCAACCCCCAAGAGCACACCCCCTCCAAGACCTTCACAAAGACTCTGGCACTGACCTTCATCCTTAATACAAAGGGCATTGTACGTGCCCCCAGGAACTGGGTTGCTCTCAATCCTCACATCAACAGCTCTCACGATTTGCTGTTCACCACTGCCTTGGCTACACACGGTTGTCCTAAAACAAAGAAGACACTGAGTTAGAACTTCTCTGAGTTGGAAATAAGAACAAGTCTTTTCTGCTGTCAGCTCTGAAATCGGGAGAGAATTTTCTGATTCATGAGCTTTGGCTGAAAGCATCAATATGGAAACATTCTCCCCAAACAAAGGTCTAAATTCAGGAATATAGGTAATGCTTGGGTTGAAGTCATAAGTATCAATTCAAGTTTCAGAGACAATACATTGTTGAGTTCTTCTAGTATATACTTGATTTTTATTTCATAAAATTCTGCTCTTTTCTTTTCCTCTTGTTTTGTTCTCCTTTTCCACATTTCTTACAATAGATCATTAGTTCATGAAACTTCAGCTTTTTTCCTTTTATAATACAAACATTTAATGCTTCTAGGTATAGCTTTGGCAGCACCCCACAAATTTGGATATGTATGTTCATTTCCATTATATATTTTTTGTCCTGTGATTTAGTTAGGGATATCTTTTGTAAACAGCAAATACTTCATTTTTAAAAATCATCTCACAAACTTTGTTTTCTAATTGGAGCATCTTACCTACTTATCTTTAATTTAATCATCAATCTCTTTGAATTTAAATCTGCCAACCTATAAGTGGTTTTTATTCTGCCCATTTTCTCTTTCACTCATTCTTTCACTCATTTTCTTCCTTTTCCCTATTTTGGATTATTTGTTTTGTTTTGTTTTTGTTTGTTTGTTTGCATTCTCTTTCCTTTTGAACTGACTTAGAAGTTAAACTTCCTTTCACTATTCTTTCAGTAATACCCAGAGGTTACAACATGCTTTCTTTAATTTATTAAAATGAAATATTTTACCCTGTCCTTTAACAACACAACTTAAAATTAACATCCTTAAAATACTTCCTATTTACATAAATCATTTTTAGTGTTCAATATTATTGCTTTATATAATTTCAATTTTCCCATATATTTACTTTCCATTTATTCTTTTTATTTTTTTTTTGAGATAAGAGTCTCGCTTTGTTGTCCAGGCTAGAGTGAGTGCCGTGGCATCAGCCTCGCTCACAGCAAGCTCAAACTCCTGGGCTCAAGCAATCCTGCCGTCTCAGCCTCCTGAGTAACTGAGACTACAGGCATGCGCCACCATGCCTGGCTAATTTTTTCTATATATATTAGTTGGCCAATTAATTTCTTTCTATTTATAATAAGAAATTAAGGGTCTCGCTCTTGCTCAGGTTGGTTTTGAACTCCTGACCTCGAGCAATCCGCCCACCTCGGCCTCCTGGAGTGCTAGGATCACAGGGGTGAGCCACCACACCCGGCCTCCATTTATTCTTTTTTGCATCTCCAGCCTCCCACCTGCAATTATTTTCCTCTAGCCTGAAGAATATCCTTCAGTGTTTTGTTTAGTGTATGCAGGTTGGATGTGATAAATTCTCTTACTTTTTGTCTGTCTGAAAATGTCTTTATCTCACCTTTATTACCAGAAGATATTTTTCACTGGGTATAAAATTCTAGGTTGACAGTAATTTTCTTTTAGCGTTTTGAAGACATCCATCAATTGTCTTTGGGCTTTCATTGTTAGTTTATTCTTGCTCTTTTGAAGGTTATCTCTCTTTATCTTATTTCTTTTAATTTTTTCTTCATATTTGATTCAGATCATTCGAAGCAATCTTACCATAATGTGCCTACTTGTGGATTTCTTTGCATTTGTCCTACTTGGACTTTGCAGGGCTTCTAGAATCTGTGCCTTGATGTTGTTCTTGAGTTGTGAATAATTCTCATATTGCTTTTACCATATTTTCTTTCTCTTCTCCCTTTAGAATTCTAATTACATGCATTTTCTTTGTCTTTTACCATTTCTTATATATATATCTTTTTTCCCTTTTTTATTTTATTTATTCTGGATATCATTCTCTGTGATATCTTCCAGTTCACTAATTCTCTATTTGACTTTTTACTTTTTTAGAGAGAGAGAGAGAGAGAGAGAGAGAGAGACAAGATCTCACTGGAGATCTTAAGTCCAAGCTGGACTTAAGCTCTTGAGCTCAAGCAATCCTCCTGCCTCAGTCTCCCAAGTAGCTGGTACTATAGACATGTGTCACTGTGTCCAGCTCTCTTTGGCTCTTTTTATCAGCTGTCAGATCCATCCACTAAGTTTTTTTTTTTTTTTGAGACAGAGTCTCACTCTGTTGCCCAGGTTAGAGTGAATGCCGTGGCGTCAGCCTAGCTCACAGCAACCTCAAACTCCTGGGCTCAAGTGATCCTTCTGCCTCAGCCTCCCAAGTAGCTGGGACTACAGGCATTCGCCACTATGCCCGGCTAATTTTTTCTATATATATTAGTTGGCCAATTAATTTCTTTCTATTTATAGTAGAGATGGGGTCTCGCTCTTGCTCAGGTTGGTTTTGAACTCCTGACCTCAAGCAATCTGCCCACCTCGGCCTCCCAGAGTGCTAGGATTACAGGCGTGAGCCACCGCGCCCGGCCTCATCCACTAAGTTTTTAATGTTAGTTATTATATCTTTCATGTCTAGAGTTTCCAGCTGATTATTTTTATAGTTTTCCATGTTTTTCAAAATTCTCCCTTTTGTCTTTTATGTCTTTGAACATTTTAAGAATAGTTAAAGTCTGCATCTACTGATGCTGATATCTGGAGTTTTTATTAGCTATTATTTTTCTTGAATTTAATTCTTGTTGCCTTGTCTCCTCATGTGACTAGTTATTTGATATTGTATGATAAATCCTACATTGGTTAAAATTGTTTGTTGAAATAAATGAGGCTTAGGATAATATTATCTTCCTCAAAAAGGGGGAAAAAAGCCAAATTCATGGCTATAGAGGATATGAAGATATTCTGCCAGTTCACTGTCCAGTATACTGTGTCCAGTTTACTCTTGCTTCTGGGATACAGCTCTGCAAGGACCCAACCCAAAGCAAAAGAGCTCACGAGGCCCCTTCTTACACACAAGTTGAATTCAAATCTCTATCCTCCTAGTCCCATGAGACTATCAAAATTGCTACTCAGCCTTTATGGAATCTGCAAAAGTTCTTGGGAGACAAGTGGCCCCAGACTCTGAATTCATCACTTAAGACCTTCTCTGAATTTTTAGTGTATACTCAACATAAATTCATGGAGCTATAGGTCAGATATGCTATATGTCTACTATGTCATCAATTAAAACATGCAAGATGCATTTAATAATCGCTTTTTAGTGTGTGTGTAAGGAGTGAGGGAAGCCATGCAGGAAAGACCCATAGTGAAATGTACATGCTAATGCTCAGATACTTTCTGGTTCCAGAGACATTAAAATGGAAGGACAGAAAAACTATTTTTAATATGTTGTCTAGCAAATATAATGAGTAAGTATGATTTCCTTATAAAGAAATATCTCAGCAGAGACCCACTAATGTGTGTTAACACTGTACAGAAAATCCACAGAAGATGGACCTTTCCAATGACTCAGTTCTGACTTGCAATGCCCAGGAGACCTAAGCCTAGTTCCAAGCGGCTCTTCAGAATCTCTGAATTACCCTGCTTATCTGATGAAATTATATTAATGGAGTCATGAAAAATATTACTATTAATACTTTACTACATTATGGAAATGTGCATGTACATTTTGTCTATTCCAGAGCATGGATATAAAATATAAGGCAGAGAGAACTACAGTTCCAGATTCACTGAAAGGCTCTGGATTAGCCTCAGTTGTCCCCTTTATTCAGCTGCTGCTTCACACTGGGCACATTTGGAGACGTGAGTCAGCAAGGCTGCGGGTGTTTTCCATGGCCATCTGCCAGCTAGCCAGCTTCAGGTCATCATCTAACAAAGTAGCTCTTGGAGCTTGTTTTGTTCTTTCACATTCCTCTGGAAAGAAGGAGAAAGTGGAATGGCTCCTGCCTTCTCTGAGTATAACTAAAGAAGCAAGTACCAGAAGTATTGGAAAGCTTCCTCCTAGCTTAGAATTACTTCTCTAGAGGATTCCATTGGTCAGGAACTTAGGGCACAGTGGGAATAGCCTATCTCTGCTATATAATCTCTAAGGTCTGAGGAGGCCAGACTTACAGGCTGGTGACAACTCAACAGCTGGGGGAAAGAACCACCTGGAGGCATCTTCACTCACATCTTTGGCCGTGAAACTGGCTTGGCTAGGACATTGGTTGGGGCTATTGGTAAAAGCCCCTACGAGAAGCATCTCCACGTGGCCGGGCCTTCCTCACAGCATGGCCATCTCAGCATAGTCAGATTTCACATGGCATCTCAAAGCTATCAGGATGGTTGTCCCCAGAATGCCAGATGGGAGTTGCATGGATTTTTCCAATCCAACCTCAGAAGTCACACAGTCTCAGTAATGCTGTATTCTGTCCGTAGAGGCAATACCATGCTGTCCCTGATTCAAAGGGAGGAGATATAGAGCACAGCTCTTGACAGAAGTGGCATGAGAAAATTTGTGGCCATATTTTAAAACCTCCATACCATGTTCTTATACATATATAGTATATGCAGATGATTATCCACAGAGAAAAAGGGATAAAGAATATATACTAGTGACAGTCATTATCTCTAGGTAGAGAAGAAGAGAAAAAAATTTACTTTGTATTTTATATTAATATATATCTGCATTATTTGAAATTTTTATAATGAGCATGTATTATTTTTGTAATTTAAAGAGAAAATTCAAAATAACAAAGTAAGGAGGGAAAAAGACTGTGACAGAACTCCAGAAAAATGCTTTTACATAAGAACTCAAAACAAGAACGCCCTGGAAGCCACTGCCCATTGCACTTTGCCTATCCTGGTACCTCAAGAGAACAATCTTTGAGCCCCCACGCCAGCCTTGGTGGGATGGTCAGGGTGAGCTGGAAAAGGAGAAATGACTTACCCGAGGGTGCCGTCCGCCAGCCAGCCTGTGGTGCACGCCGTGAAGGTACAGTCCCGGACCACCCTCCGCAGCTCGTCTGCAGACACCAGGTGAGCACCCCTGCTCTTGCAGGACAGCTGAGCCGCCTCCAGTTCCAGACCCTGAGAGCCATTCTGAGACTCCAGCACAAAGAGCTTCCCTGCGTGGGGACAAGCACAAACACATGCAGGTTCCAGGATCTATGGGAATTTAGGCTCAGCAAACTCATCCTCTGGCAGACACCCGTCAGAATGACAGCTTTCTCCTTGCCTGAAGACCCAGGTGCAGCAGCTACCCCCGTGGTACACCATCCCTGGGACCAGGTGATGACAATTGCACTAGTGTTTTCATCCATGTTTTGCTTTTGTCTTCTTAAAAAAATAATAACCACCATCTGCTGTGGCACGTTTATCTGGATAAGCCCTTCAAATATTTCCTTTATAAAGGTGTTTTACCAATACTACGTGGCAAAGCTCAGTGTCCTAGGTTCCCCTGAGTCACTTGGTGTCCAAGGCACTGACTTAGGCCTCAGCTCTACCTTCTTTCTGTCTCCCCCAGCCCTGGGTGACTCCCAGGCTGTTTCCTTTCTCTCTGTCCCTTGCTTTAGGACATTATCAGGTCCTTCCCACAATGAAGTCATTTGGGACCATGTCTGGTACAGCCTGGCTTCCTGCAACACATAATACATGGGCATGTAGTGAGCCTCAAAGAACGTGTGACAGGTGAGGGAATGGGAGCATGAATTCCAGCAGAAGTGGAAGCCCAGGCTCAAAGCAGAGGAGAGCTTTAGGCGAGAAAACCATGGTGCAGGAGCAAACACTGCAGTCCCCAGGAACCTCCTAGAGGGATGAAGCAATGCTTTGGGTGGCCCTATAAAGTTTAAGGTAAAGGCAGAAGAGAAAAAAACCAGTTAGAATGAGACATTTTACTTCTATCTGTCAGTAAAATTTTCATTATGTATCAGTTTTATTAGAATAAGATACAACTATCATCTCCTTACAAAATTATTATTATAATAAATATAATACTCCCCCAGCTTTGAAACCAAAAGTTACAAAAAATGCAAACAATTTTCAAAATAAACATAGGTGTAGGTGTTTGGTGCTCCCACATTTGACTATAAAAAGGCAATATCAACAAAATTACAAGAAGTAAAAGAATCCACAATCCTCATGGAAAATTTTAACTACTCTCCCCCTCACTAACTGATAAAACAGAAAAAAATCAGAAAAGATATAGATTTGAGCAACAAAATTAACACTCTTGATGTAAGGACCGACGTACAGTACTGCACACCAAACTACAAAATACACATTTATTTTGTACAGAACATTTGTAAAATGGATCAAACACTTAGTTCTAAGGCAAATATTAAAAAAAACTCAAAAGACCCAAATCATGCAAAGCATGTTTTTAGACTACAACAACATAAACATGCTAAAGTCATTTATGTATCAAACACTTACACAGCATTTACTATGGGCCAGATGTTGTTCAAATTGCTTTACAAATATTCATTATATTAATCCTTACAACAACTCTATAAGTGTTATTATTATCTCCATTTTATATAGTTAATTAGTAATTAATACTTGTCTAAGATCATACAGCTGAGATACAAAACCAGGTACGTTGGTTCCTTGCCAGTGATCTTAATTACTGTTATATTGCTTCTCTACAACAAAGTAATAACAAAGAAAATCCCCTTGTGCATGGAAATTACAAAATACACTTTTTTTTTCTTTTAAGACAGGGTCTTACTCTGAATTTAAAATTCATTTTGCGTCAATATAGCTGTTTTGTTTTTTTAAGAAATTTGCCCACTTCATCTAAATTGTCAAATGTGCTGGCATATATAATAATATAATAATCTCTAATTATCATTTCAGGGTCCATGGGATCTGTAGTGATGTTCCCTTTCTTTGTCGATATTGGTAATTTGTATTTTCTCTCCTTTTGTCTTATCAGTCTTGCTAGGTGTTTTATTATTCTCTTGAAAAAAGCAACTTTTGACTTTATTTTCTCTATTATATGTCTGCTTTTCATTTTGTTGATTTCTGCTCTATATTATTTTCTTCTTTCTACTTCTTTAGAAGCTTTGACTTTGTGGGGCTTTTTTTTAGGTTTTTGAGATAGAAACTTAAATCACTGATTTTCGACCATACTTCTTTCGTAACATGAGCCTCTGGGGCCATAAATTTCCCTTATATACTACTTTAGTTTCTCCTGAAGTTTTTGTACCTTGAGTTAAAATATTGTATTTCAATTGTGGTTTCTTCTTTGAACATGATTTATTTACAGGTGTATTTTGTAGGCCAGGTGCAGTGGCTCATGCCTGTAATCCTAGCACTTTGGGAGGCTGAGGCAGTAGGATTGCTTGAGGCCAGGAGTTCGAGACCAGCCTGAGCAAGAGAGAGACTGTCTCTACAAAAACTAGAAAAAGTAGCCAAGCATGGTGGTGTACACCTGTAGACCCAGCTACTCAGAAGGCTGAGGCAGGAGGATCACTTGAGCCCAGAAGCTTGAGGTTGCAGTGGGCTATGATGACACCATAGCACTCTAGCCAATTTCTCTCGCATCATCTCTAACTACTACCACATGTTCCATTTTCCTTACCACTCACAGGTTCTTTTGCATGTTATTCTCTATCCAAGACACTCCTCCTTCCCCCTCGTTGCCCGCTTAATTCTTACTCATCTTTCAGATCCTCCTGCACCAAGTCAAAATTTCCTAATATATGCTCTCAGGGCACCTTCTGTCCTTTAATCTTATCAAAGTCGCCATTTCACATTTCATTTATATAATTATTTAATGACTCTCTCCCACAATGGATTTTAAGCTCCCTTACAGAAAGGACCTATCTTTCTTTTTCTTTATCATTCTATCTTCATCAGCAAGGACAATGCTTGGTATACGGTAAATAATATCTATTGAATTAATGAATCTTTCCCTGTAATCACTACCTAAACAGTTCATTTGCATTCAGTTAATGCAAATATTTTTCTATTTCAAAAGTATTTAAAAGTATACTGCAAATCTCCTGTATGTATGAAATGTGTATCTAATTAGTCAAATGTAAACTACATGTTCTTCATCTGAATTTTTCTTACTTATTTTTTAGAAATATTTTCTCTCTAAATCTCTCTCTTCAAATATATGTAATGCATCACAATTTAGTTGAACATTTTTTCTTTCTTTCTTTCTTTCTCTTTTTTTTTTTTTTTTTTTGAGACAGAGTCTCACTTTGTTGCCCAGGCTAGAGTGATGCCATGGGTTCAGCCTAGCTCACAGCAACCTCAAACTCCTGGGCTCAAGCGGTCCCTTCTGCTCAGCCTCCCGGAGTAGGGCTGGACTACAGGCATGGGCCATCATGCCTGGCTAATTTTTTTCTATATATATTAGTTGGCCAATTAATTTCTTTCTATTTAAAGTAGAGACGGGGTCTTGCTCTTGCTCTTGCTCAGGTTGGTTTTGAACTCCTGACCTTGAGCAATCCTCCCACCTCGGCTTCCCAGAGAGCTAGGGTTACTGTTGTGAACATTTCTTCTTCCTCCCATCACCGTAACACACAAATAACCTTATGTGGGAAATGGTCGTTAAGCATTTAGTAAAGAAAAGAATTTGTTCATAATAGAGCCTATAATTCTCCCTGGTTCTATTATAAAAGTTGGAGCTCAGCAAATGGAGTTTCTTAAAAGGAAGTGTACCTATAATTCTCCATTGGGGAAGCTGGGTGAAGAAAAGGAAGGAGAAAGGAGAAAAGGAAGCATTTCTGGCAAGCAGTACTGGGGTCATACGCTCTGGTGTTGTCCTTACTTTCTCTTTGTCCAATGACATTTCTGCTTCAACTTTCTATGATCCATATCAAGCTAGATAGGCACAAAACATTGACCCTTATCCATGTGGCATTCCACTTAAACAGTTATAATGGTTTTGAAACTGCTGTTGAATAAAATAAAAAAAGAAAAAGAGAATGAGAAGAAACAGTTATAATGGGATGAAACTCTAAAGCCTCATGGATTGCAAAGATATGTCTTTAAAAGGAATTAAAATCGCCGCAATAGTATATACATTATTGAAAAGTTAATACTAGCTCCAATTTACTCTACTTGCATTTTTAAAAATCTGCTTAATTTTCATGACTCAATGTCAGGCAAAGAACACAACAGTAAAGAATTGCCAGTGGATTGACTGCTAACGGCTTCGGGATTTCTTTTGGGGGTGATAGAAATGTCCTGGAATTAGATCCACAACTACAGTTTGCACAACATAATGAATATGCTGAAAACCATTGAATTGTACAGTTTAAAATGATAAGTTTTACGTGAATTACATATCAATTTAAAAAATTAACAGTAGCAACAGCTTTCAAAGTTAAAATGTCTTGTCTGTAACACTCTCTCTGAGGATATGGAGAAATAGACATTCATCCCTAATTAGCAGCGAAGAACTCTTCAAGCCTGCACTTAAAACACAGCACTAAAAACTCTAATAGGAGAATACCCCAGGCTTTTTTTCTTTTCTTGGCTTTCCCCTTTTCCTAACCATCGTGCTTCTTTATGTCACGTCTTCTAGTTTTACCCAATATTGCTCGCTAAATAAGAATGACAGTTAAAAATATACAAAGCATCCTAAATCAACGGAGGGTATTTCTCCTTTATCCACTCAATTTGTTCTAAGCTTGGATTTACTAGAAACCCCTCGTGGGTGTGAGAACTGCTGGCTTTCAAGCCTGCTTCCTTCACATCCTCCTGCCCCCAAGGCAGCAGGGTTTTGTTCCAAAAATCAACACACAGCTGACTTCGCTTTCCAAGACGCAATTGCTACAGAACTCTCATCCTGGTTATTTGAGGTTAAGTCTTAAAAGCTGAATTCGGGTTCAAAAACACAAAAACAAAAAGAGGACCAATGCTCGGGTAACCTATAGTAATCTGGCCCCTACCTATTTCTCGACATCCCACCCTGCACTCCCCGCCCCACGCCGGGCGCTCTGCTTTATGTCATTTGTACCCTTTTCCCTGCCCCTCGGAGAGACTCTGCGCGCGCTAGCCTTTTGCCCAGGACTCGCTTCTTCCCCGTCGTCTAGCTGGTCCCCACTCATCCTTCCAGATTTTCCCCGGACCGAGCCATGAAATAGCCGACGGCGTTTTCTACCCACCGACCTTGTCGTCAGGAGCACACTTGATAGCCGTTGAGGAATTGAGAGACGGTGGGAAAAGCACCTCTCAGCAGAGGAGGTTCTAGGGCACCTGAGACGTGATTTCATTTTAAAGAACGTGCGTGGAAGCTCGCGGCGGGGCAGCAGGACCAAGGCACGGGCTCTCTCCGGTGCGCGCGGGCGCCGAGGGAGGGTGCGGGCGCCCCGGCGGGCGTGCGGGCGCGCAGGCACGCGAGGACTCGGCGGCCCGGGAGAGGGACGCTGGGGCGCAGGGCCGCCGCTCGCTCATTCCTCCGGGGCTGGCCCAGGGAGCTTTCCCGCCCTCCCCGCCCGGACCCCACGGTCCACCCCAGCCCCGCAGCCTCGCGAACACTCACCGTCCGCCCGCACGGAGAGGCGCGGCAGACCCAGCAGGAGAAGCGCTGCCGCCCAGACCCCGCGCAGGGAGCCGTGCGACCGGGCACGCGGGCCAGGTGCCCCGGCAATCATGGTCCGGCTGTCCGCGGGCCGGCGGGCTCGGGTGAGGGCTGTGGCTGAGCTCGGCGTTGCCGGGGCCACGGCGCGGCGTGCGCCACTCGGCGCTGCGCTCCGCGCTCCGCTCGCGGGCCGCAGACTTCGCGCCCGGCGCGCCGAGAGGGAAGACCGCGGACAGCCGGGGGAGGCCTGGGACGCCGGAGCGCTGGGGCCGCCGAACTCCCGGGGGTCTTCTCCGTGGCGCCGGAGAGGCGGCTGTAACCCGGCCCCGCCTTCTCGCCGGGCACCTGGAAGCTTCGGTGCCAAAAGGGGCTGCGCCGGACCGCGCTTTCCGCGGGCGCGGCGGGGCGGAGGGTGAGGGCGCGGGGAGGCGGGAGGGCGGAGAGCCGGCTGCGAGGAGCCCGCGCCTGTCTGGGGGACTCTTGGGGAGAGGGTGACGCAGCCGGAGAGGCCGAGGCCCTCGGCGGGACCGTTAAAAAGCGGGTGCCCGGCCGGGCGCGGTGGCTCACGCTTGTAATCCTAGCACTCTGGGAGGCCGAGGCGGGCGGATTGCTCGAGGTCAGGATCAGGAGTTCAAAACCAGCCTGAGCGAGACCCCGTCTCTACTATAAAAAAAAATAGAAAGAAATTAATTGGCCAACTAATATATATATATATATGAAATTAGCCGGGCATGGTGGCACATGCCTGTAGTCCCAGCAACTCGGGAGGCTGAGGCAGTAGGATTGCTTGAGCCCAGGAGATTGAGGTTGCTGTGAGCTAGGCTGACGCCACGGCACTCACTCTAGCCTGGGCAAGAAAGCAAGACTCTGTCTCAAAAAAAAAAAAAAAAAAAAGCGGGTGCCCAACTCTGCCCTCTGCCTCTTGACTTTCCATCTGGCGTCTTCGCATAGAGGAGGAGCTTTTTTTTTTTTTTTTTTTTTTTGGTTTTTTGTTTTAATGAAAAAGAGGAAGAATCTAACTTACCAACCTCACTCACTCTAAGGTGTGAAACGCACGGAATAGCGACGTTCCTCTTTTCCTGAACTAAAAGCGGGGCTTTAAAGTCGCTCAGAAAAGGGCATCTTCAGGAAGGCTTCCTTCACGACTTTTCCTGGTACACCTAGCATTTCTTAAAGAACACCAGGAGCGCTGGTAGGGTTGCCACCACCTCAAATCAGGGCTCCTTGATCTCAGAAGGTCCTGAGATTTGGATTCTATCGGTCTGGTCTGGGAATCCGCTCTAAATAATTGTCCGGCAGAATTCTGCTGTGTGGGGTCCCTGCCCTGAATTCATTCTTTCCTCCAGCTCACCCACTATCCTGTCTTCCCACCATCCACATCATTCAGCGGAGAAGGAGGGTTTGCTTTCTTCCCAGGTAGAGAAATGAACATCAGTATTGTTATAACTGGGGTACCAGTGGCACCTACAGTTTACAAATCCCTTACGTATTCATGTACAAGTCAACAAATATCTGTTAGTGCCTACCCCTGTGCCAGACCCTGAATGAGGCTGCCATCTGTCCTTAAAATGTTCACATTTAAATTAGACACATAAGATTGAAAAAGTGATAGTTGCTAAAACGGACAGATAATAGCCCCCATTTTATGAACTGCCAGGACACAGACATGGAAAGAATTTACTTTCTTTTCACAGTATGAATTGGGATTTAAACCCACATTTGATTTGCTGCAGGTGTTATTTTTTAGCTTTCTTAATGTTTGAAGCACATTGGAAAGATCTCTTCACTCCTCACTTCTTCCCATCAACTGCAAGGCTACTATCAGTGATTAATTCCTTTGGATAATTAAACTTTGCTTTTGAAATATAAATACTCTGGAGTGTTAAATGCAGTGAAGCCTGACAGTCATTCACACTTTTTTTTTTTTTTTGAGACAGAGTCTCACTTTGTTGTCCAGGCTAGAGTGAGTGCCGTGGCGTCAGCCTAGCTCACAGCAACCTCAATCTCCTGGGCTTGAGTGATCCTTCTGCCTCAGCCTCCCGAGTAGCTGGGACTACAGGCATGCGCCACCATGCCCGGCTAATTTTTATATATATATATCAGTTGGCCAATTAATTTCTTTCTATTTATAGTAGAGACGGGGTCTCGCTCTTGCTCAGGCTGGTTTTGAACTCTTGACCTTGAGCAATCCGCCCGCCTCGGCCTCCCAAGAGCTAGGATTACAGGCGTGAGCCACAGCGCCCGGCCAGTCATTCACACTTGAGTGTAAATGAATTTACTTAGCTGCTTCCCTTCTAACAGTTAGCTGGTAACCTAAGGAGTGAGACTTCACATGTCTGGGCTGGAGGGAACATTTTAAAGCCTGCTTGGTGTTGAGAATGGAGGGGAGGGGGTCAGAAGGCACCTGCGGGCACTATTATACTACATGTCCCACTCAAGCCCAATAAACTTCTCAGAACATTCAATTGAATTTTACTACCTAATCCAAATGACATTTAAAAGGTTATCTTTATTCAGTTCAATCTTGGCCTGTCCTGATTTGGGGATATGGCAAAGATTTAATTGGTACAACTGCTTTATTACTTAATTTTTTTTTTTTTTTGAGATGGGGTCTCATTCTCACTCAGGCTGGAGTGCAGTGGCATAATCATAGTTCACTGTGGTCTGGAACTCCTGGGTTCAAGGAATTCTCCTGCCCCAGCCTACCAAATAGGTAGGACTACAGGCACATATCATGCCAGCTTTTTTTTTTTTTTTTTGTAGAGATGAGGTCTCATTATGTTGACCAGGGTGGTTCTCCAACTCCTGACCTCAAGCTATCCTCCCACCTCAGCCTCCCAAAGTGCTGGGATTACAGGTGTGAGCCACCATTCCCAGCCAACTGCTTTAGAAAACTGTTTGGTTGTTTCATATAAAGTTAAACATGCTTTAAGACACAGAAATTTCTCTCTAGATGCATATCCAAAAGAAATAAAAACTTATGCCCACAAAAAAGATCTGTGCACAAATGTTCGTATCAGCCTTACTCACAATAATCAAAACCAGAAGCAACTCAAATGTCATCAACACATGAATAAAAAGAAAAAAAATCTGTGTCCTATTCACACAACGGCATACTACTCAACAATAAAAGGAATGAATTACTGAATGAACTACTCAACAACATGGATGAACTTCAAAAATATACTGAGTGAAAGAAGCTTTACAGAAAAGCATTCATACTGTATGGTTTTATTTATATGGAGTTTAAAAGAAGGAACAAAACTCAATCTGCTGTGAAAACAACACGGTGGTTGCTTTTGAGAGAGTGTGAATGTAGGAATCTTCTGAAATGATGAAAATGTTCTATATCTTGATGGTGGGGATGGCGGTCACAAGAGTATACACTGTAGGGGCCAGGGGGAAACCCCTTGGTTTGCTGAGAAGTTTGCTGAAAAGTCAACTCACAATAAGGTAGATTAAGAAGAAGAAAAGACATACAAATTGAACATGTATGCCCAGGAGCCTTTAGAATGAATATCAACCCCTAAAGAGGGTACAGAAAGTATGAGGGCTTAGATCCTGGCAAAACATGTTCTAGGAGGCAGGGAGAAGAAAAATTCTGTTATGGGGCAAGTAATGACTACTAGGGAGAATTCAATGGGCTTGGAGAACACACAGTGATCTGGGGCAAAGGCTGCAGGGCTCCCAGAGTGGACAGTGGTTTGTGACAAAAGTCTTGACCATGTTTATTGACAGACTTTAGTCTTCCTTCCTGTGATAGGGTTTAGTTAATGAAAACTAAGGGAAGGGACTGGAGGTAATTGTTTTCTTCTGTGGTAGGTCTCTAGACTTTAGTCAGATAATGAACTTCAGAGAACACCTTTACCCTATGCTTTGGGAGAGATGGTGGAGTAGAGAGGAAGTTCAGAGGGACCTAGAGACTCCTTCAGTTCAACATATCAAAACGCCATATTTTGGGGTATCAGTTTCTGAGCCCCAACAATACATTTGTCAAACCTCACTAAACTGTATTCTTGAAATCTGTGCATTTATTCAATATTCATGTTTCAATAACAAAGACTTCAAAAATCGCAAATTCAGTCCTTGCCTTAAAGAATAAAAAGGGTTTAATAGAAGAAAGTCTGATGAAAGGAGCACATATAGAGATATGGACAGAGTTGAAAGAACCAATCAGGGATGATGAAGCTCTTGGGTCTAGCAACATCTGAAGCTGTAACCACTCTAAGGCCTGGAGGAGTGAGAGGAGATTGAGGTGTTATCAAACCCAGCAAGAGCTGTGGACTTGAATTAAGATGTTGTATTGGTTTGGTAGGGAGTGAGGAAGAAATACCCGAACCTTTCTCTCCTTCCACGTTTCACATTCCTCCTGATGCCTTCTATTGGCTGAACCACTTGAAAGCTAGAGGCCAAAGGAGTCCAGGTGCAGCTGTCCTTAGAGGTAATCCGCACAGCGTGCAGACTCAGGCAGGGAAGGGTGGAGAGCGAATCTGGAGTGGCAGATGGAAAACAACCTGCATAGTCCATCTATTCTTTTCTTTGATTTGATTGAAAATAACTAAAAACAAGCCAAAACTGGGAAACACAAAATCCTACCAGTCCTATCCTGTAAGACCTGGGAATGATGTCAATTCAATCCAATTCCCACTTGGAGCGATACTGTGATATTCACTAACATCAGTGTTTACTTTCACATAAATACTACTTCCCGTGAACAGAAAAAGGGAGAAGTAAACAATTGTGATAAAATACACATGCCACAGTCCCCACTTCTGTACCTGGTCATGAGGCCTTGTTCGATGATCATTGCAAGGTTCCCCTCTGCTCTCTGAGCATCTTGGTCTGCATGAGTTTTTCTTTCTAACTGATGAGGAGGACCCCAAATTTCATTCCTACTAAAGACCTGTCCCTATTAGTTTGCCATGGTTTCTCTCTGACCATTGTTACTGGACGTGGGCATCCCCTGAGGTCTAGACATGGGCATCCATGTCCCCATTATGGAGAAGCAACTTGATTTCCCCTTGGTAATCAGGATTAATGACCCCAGTCAGTAGAGTAAACTTCTTTTCTGTCTGTTGGTTTTTCAACATGAGGAATACAAAATTATACAAATCACAAGTAGTCTAAGCTTCCAATGTATAGGGCCAT